CGACCCAGGATATGTCCCAGGTACCGCACCTCCTGCTGGGCCAAAGCACATTTCTTGGGCTGGGCAGTCAGTCCTGTCTGACCAAGATGCTTAAGGTGCTTGTCCCATGTAGCACTGAAAACGATGATATCGTCCAAGTAGGCGCCGGAAAAGGCACCCGCCCCATCCAACACGCGGTCCATCAATTGCTGGAACGTCGCTGGCGCACTCTGTAGGCCAAACGGCATCATCTTGAACTGGAACAGGGCCTGGGGTGCTCTAAAGGCTGTGCAGGGCCTGGCCTCTTAGCCATTGGCACCTGCCAATAGCCTTTACACAGATCCAAGGTGGAAATGAAGCGCCCTGCCAAGGCGTTCGATAAGGTCTTCCAACGTGGGTACGGGGTATGCATCAAAATGTGATTGTGCATTTACCTGAAGGACATCAATGCAGAAACGCATGCTCCAGGCACTCTCCGACCGCTCAATCACTCTAAGTCTTTGCATCACCTGCAGCTCCTTTTGGAGGGCAGGTAACATTCGCTCCGGAACTCTGTACATCCGCTACCGGATTGGGGTGGTATCTTTCAGCAGGACGTTGTGTTCAGCCATGGATGTGGCTCCAGGCTGGTCGCTGAAGAGCCCATTAGGGATGACAGCCTGCAACTCCTGCTGTTGTTGCAGGGTGCGATGTGTAATGTTAATCTCACCAGTTGGAAGGTCTGTAGGGAAGAACTGCTCTTCCTCCTCCGTCACTGCTTGCTTGTGTTGTGGAATGTCTCTCTCGTGCCACTCCTTCAGAAGATTAATGTGAAATACCTGCCGCTTCTTGGCATGTCCAACTCATAGGTGGTGGCCCCCAGCTTCCTGATAATTCTGTAAGGTCCCTGCCACTTGGCCAGCAGCTTCCTCTCCTCTGATGGTAGGAGTAGTAGAACTTTCTGACCCGGCTGTGTGAAGTTTCGCTGCCTCGTTTCTTATTGTACCACTCGGTCTGGGTTTGTTACACTTGGTGAAGGTTGTCTTTCACCAGGTTGATCATTTTTTCAATTTTCTCCCTCATGGTGATGACATAGATGACCACCACTGGTGGTGGTAGACTTTGGTGACTCCCAGGTAACTCTGAGCAGATCGAGAGGGCGCCAAAAATTATGACGTCAGAAACCTCGCTGCCCGGCTGTACCACGTGACTGCTTCGGGAAGTGGTTCAGATTTTGCCGGGAGGAGCAATATATACCCCTCAGGCTCCATTCAAAATGTGGGTTGTTGGTGGAGAGTTGCGGTCAGTTGAGAGTTTGGATAGGGTTTATATAGTTTGGAGAGTTTAGAGAGAGAGATAGTTTGGAGAGTTAGGAGAGTGAGGAGAGAAGGATAGGTGATAAGATGGAGCCAGCTAGGAAGAGGAGGATTTCCCCTTTGTGGGAACACTTTGATTCGATAACTCCTAATAAGGTGAGCTAAATCTAACTCTATTTCAGACACATTAGGTTTGCTTATCAAGAACTGTATTTTTCAGTTTCTTATTTTATTCAAAGGTGAGGTGTTTATTGTGCTCCAAGGTGTTGGGGTACAATAACAACACCTCATCCATGCTAAGGCATTACCGTGCCTTGCATGAGAATAAGGAGCAAACTGGAGCTTCACCCAGCCAAGGTAAGTCATCACAATTCTTCCCTGTTCCCTTTTGTTTATTGTGCAAATAAAGACAGGTAACAGACATTGTATTTATTCTCTTTTAACCAGCCACCAGAAAACCAGAGCTGGATGAAGCCCTCGTCTCCATGATAGTGAAGGACACACAGCCCTTCAGTATGGTCGATGATGTTGGATTTGTGTCCAAACTGGATCCTAATTATGTTCTCCCTACAAGGCAGGTATGTATGGGTTCATGTGTAAAACAAATGGTAGCAATATAGTAATATTACTTGTGTTTTTTCCTTTAGGCTCTGAAGGCCATGGTGGAGGCCAAGTATAGGCTAAGGCTTGCTTGGTGTATGTCTCCTGCCGTGTATTGTATGTAATTTGGTGATGTGTTTTTTTTTTTGGATACTGTTCGGTTGTGTTAGCTGGATGTGGTTGTTGGTCCACCTGTGTAATCAAGTTTCCGTATAAATGCACCTGCTCTGTGATAGTCTCAGAGGTCTGTTTAAAGCGCAGAGAGCATCATGAAGAACAAGGAACACACCAGGCAGGTCCGAGATACTGTTGTGGAGAAGTTTAAAGCCGGATTTGGATACAAAAAGATTTACCAAGCTTTAAACATCCTAAGGAGCACTGTGCAAGCAATAATATTGAAATGGAAGGAGTATCAGACCACTGCAAATCTACAAAGACCCGGCCGTCCGTCTAAACTTTCAGCTCAAACAAGGAGAAGACTGATCAGAGATGCAGCCAAGAGGCCCATGATCACTCTGGATGAACTGCAGAGATCTACAGCTGAGGTGGGAAAGTCTGTCCATAGGACAACAATCAGTCGTATACTGCACAAATCTGGCCTTGCCAAGAAGAGAGAGTGGCAAGAAGAAAGCCATTTCTTAAAGATATCCATAAAAAGTGTCGTTTAAAGTTTGCCACAAGCCTCCTGGGAGACACACCAAACATGTGGAACAAGGTGCTCTGGTCAGATGAAACCAAAATCGAACTGTTTGGCAACAATGCAAAACGTTATGTTTGGCGTAAAAGCAACACAGCTCATCACCCTGAACACACCATCCCCACTGTCAAACATGGTGGTGCCAGCATCATGGTTTGGGCCTGCTTTTCTTCAGCAAGGACAGGGAAGATGGTTAAAATTGATGGGAAGATGGATGGAGCCAAATACAGGACAATTCTGGAAGAAAACCTGATGGAATCTGCAAGAGACCTGAGTCTGGGACGGAGATTTGTCTTCCAACAAGACAATGATCCAAAACATAAAGCAAAATCTACAATGGAATGGTTCACAAATAAACATATCCAGGTGTTAGAATGGCCAAGTCAAAGTCCAGACCTGAATCCAATCGAGAATCTGTGGAAAGAACTGAAAACTGCTGTTCACAAACGCTCTCCATCCAACCTCACTGAGCTCGAGCTGTTTTGCAAGGAGGAATGGGCAAAAATTTCAGTCTCTCGATGTGCAAAACTGATAGAGACAGACTGATACCCCAAGTGACTTACAGCTGTAATCGCAGCAAAAGGTGGCGCTACAAAGTATTAACTTAAGGGGGCTGAATAATTTTGCACGCCCAACTTTTCAGTTTTTTATTTGTTAAAGTTTGAAATATCCAATAAATTTCGTTCCACTTCATGATTGTGTCCCACTTGTTGTTGATTCTTCACAAAAAAAAATTACAGTTTTATGTCTTTATGTTTGAAGCCTGAAATGTGGCAAAAGGTCGAAAAGTTCAAGGGGGCCGAATACTTTCGCAAGGCACTGTGTATTTGAAGGCGTCTTATGTAATTAAGGTGCTATTTTGACTACATGGAGCCCTAAATGCAGGGATTATGCTGCAATTTTTAGAAATATCTTCAGTGTTTTATAACCCAAACAGCACGGTTATGACATGTTATTTTTACATTTAAAGTGCTGAGGAGGCATACACGGAACAAATCTGTATACATGACTGAAGTGGAATAAAAGGTACTCAACATATGCCTGACACAGCGCAGCCTAATTATGTGATAGTCTGTAAGGTCGTAAAAGTTCACCAGACATAATCTGTGTTGAGCGTGTGTTTGTGCGAGCACCGCCCCTTGTTTGCGTGTTTTGTTGTTTACAGTGGCTGGTGGCAAGTTCCCAGGAGATCAAGAAGGATTTCAGCTTTATCCTCAACTCAATATTAATCTTGTGTGGATTCCAAAACTGCTTCTGCAGAGCCTGTGCAGCACTCACATCTGCACCTGGTCCTCGGGACACGCACACACACACAGACATGCCATGAGCTCCTCCGTGCACACAGAATGGTTTTATAGCTCATGCAATCATTTGTGTTTCATTAAATGAAACTATGTTGTTGTGGCTGTGCAGGAACTTTTTGCTGAGCTGGCATCCATGGTCATACTAAAATATGTATAAAAGGCCATTTAGATTAAATTGTGTATCTGTTATTGTGAAATGATTGTTGAACAGTGCTGGGAAATAGATGGCTTGGTTTGATAGATGACTGTGCTTGGCAAACAGTTTGTCAGTATTTCACGCCAGTCTGAGATAATGAAGAGTGGACAGGCAGTGGACATATGGTACCTGGGATGGATCCGTTACTGAAGTCCTAAAGAAACCTGGCTGTGAGAGGAAACTAAATTGAGGAGAAGTTGGTGGAAAAGATCCAGAATAAATATTGAGGAACAAGTGAGAGGAACAGATGTTAGCATCATATCTGTTCGACTCATTTTAGAGAAAGAATTTTCAATTTCTCCTTTTCAAGAAATCTGACTCTGCAGCAGAGGGAAGTGACGCTATTGTGACTTCCCTTTTCCAAACGAGCAAATTAACTCACACTAACGTTCGCAGGAGTTTCAACCTTTGAGGCGTTTAAACCAGTTGTCCCTCCTCTTCGTCATGGGAATAGTCTCCCCCCAGTTAATGGCAGTTTAACTGACCGCTGGTAGTCTGTGTGATGTAAATTAGGTGTATGATTTGGGGGGGACATACCGGCCAATCGAGCCCGCTGATTGGTCTATAATGTCGGATAGTGGTGAGTCTGATCCAACAGTTAGTCCAACTGCATGTCAATCGAATACGATTATGCTGCTTTCAGGAGCTCCTCGTATTATTCTGTTATTATATGAAGTGCAATTAATTTCCCCACAGCTTTCTTATTTTAAGAATATTATCCGAAATATGAGCAATATCGGGCACGGTTTCAACTATTGTTGTTTAAACACGTCTCTTGTTAGTCAACCAACTTTATGTAAGTGATATGGATTTAACATCCCTTCCAGGCTGTGGATTTTGGAGACGCCAATGCCCTCTGCGCGAACGCTGCCAATGGGGTTTGAGATTTTTCCAACAGCCCCTGAACGCCGCAGTATCCCCTCCACTTCACCGTCTCAGCGCCGATTCAACGTGATAGCGGCGCCTCACAGAGAGCCGGTGTGGTTTCAGACTGCAGAGCGCTGAAATGCTTCACTCTTACGCACTTTAAACAGGATGTAGCGTCTGAGACAGATTACGGAAATAAAAATCGTGATTAAACTCCGCAATGTGACAAACAACCACTGAGTCACACATGACAGCGGCGGAGAAGAAGACGGGAGGAGTCCCGATGAGGAAGCTCATCTCCCGCAGGTCTTGACGGCTGTCCCGCAGACCCGAGGCTCCGCCACAGAACTGTACGGTCACACGCACCGAAGACCCATCATAGCCGAATTACTCCACCAAATCCCCGTCGGTGGATACTGAAGGCGACGATGGCGAGCCAGGGCGACTGCTGTGTGAAGGTTGCTTTGAGGTAAGCCTCCGACGCGTGCACGCTGGACATCTGCCGACTTTGGCAAACCATATTGTGTCTGTGCCTCCTGGCGATCACACAAATGCATCCGGCCACGCTGTGGTGTGATTTTACCCCTCTCGTCAGCTTCTCTGCACGTTGCAGGGGACACAGAGAAAAGAGCAGGAACATCTCGTTTTGTAACACATGGGTGGTGCTCTGCACAGTATTGATAAGGCGAGGCAAAGCATGTGCCAGCACCACGCTACCTGAGTATTTTCCTTTTTTGGAGGGCATTCCGTTCTCTTGGGCATTACCTGTCCGAGAAGCGGCTTGCGTTCATGATTGAACATGGGATGAAGTGACAGGACATCTGCAGCCAATCCCTTTTTTGTAATATTTTTCTTGCAGGCAACTGTACCTGCTGTGTCTTCTTATCAAGACCGTGTCTAGTGAGCGCCTTGCATGTGTATGGAAGAGCTGGCTCCACAGCCAGACAAAAACGGAAAAAAGGAATCAAGCACAAAGAGATGTTCTCCTTCAGAGCTTTGTCATTCAATGCCTTTGTTGGGGTTGCACCCAAAAGCTCAGGCAGCAGAGCAGACATTGGAGATATTAGCGGCCCATTGATTGTGTGTGCCAAGACCAAATGCATATTGAGGGGGATCCCCTTCATGTGCATATAGCGGCACTATGTGCCTCTCTGACTGGAGTGTGATTCTCTCTGCATATGTCAAATATCAATTGTTTTTTTGCAGTGTGTGGGGCTGAGGCGGTGGTCTGACCGACCCACTGTCCTTTAACTCCGACCCTCCCAGAGTCAGTCATGTCAGCTAATGAATCCCAATTGGCCATACTGACGATCTTTATAATAAAATAATAAGAAATCTGCTGTCCTTACACATAGTGTTGTAGTGCAAATGTTAATCAACTGCATCAAAGTACCAGTGACATTTAACTAGTCCTCTCTAAAGACCCCTTTTGAGGGCCTCCAACCTAGGGCTGTGCGGTATGGCCAAAAATCCATATCACGGTATTTATTTAGAAAGATTCTAACGGTATCCCAGTATGTGACAGTATTGCTTTTTCTAGTAATCACATTAATTCATTGACACGCCACACAGCTACACGAACCGCTCACCCCCTGGTCAGCCGAACCCACTGTACTACTACCCCTCGGCCGGACCATTTGCCCGACTACCACCCACCCCTCTGAAGTTGTAAACCTAGTGGAAACACTGGTGTGTTAGCTTGTTGTGGCTGCTAGAGTTGCCACCAGAGGCTCGACAGACTTTGCAATAGTTTTGTTATCTAACGTAGCTTACGTCGGATTTTCCAAAACCAAAACCCCTCCAAACAGACACAGCTCATCTCCTGGCCACAGGTTGTGTTTGTGCATCTCTGGTCTCTTGTTGTTCCTCCTGTATCACTCTTTTCCGTGTTTTCATGTAGCAACAGAGTTACTTGTTGTTGTGTGCTGTACCCAACATGCAGTTCGGCGGGGTCATTTTTAGAAATGTGCAATTATTAGTGTTACAAATTGTTTCTGTGTTGTGGTGTTTTACCCTGTGAAAGAGTGTTTGTTGTTGGTCATTCATTATCGTTATAAAGTTCAATCAATCTCAACAAGACAACTAGCTCCGACCGCTCTGCGCTCCGAGATGACGTGTAAAATAAATTCTGCCACCTGCAGAAGAGCAATGTCAGTTAGGGCATAACGGTACGTGAGAAATTCATACCGTACGGAAATCTTATACCAGTATACTGTTTGAACCGGTATACCGCCCAGCCCTACTCCAACCTCAGTTTGTGAACAATTGATCAAACCTAGTGGGGGTTGATTGGGGGTGGGACCAGTATAGCAGCCTTTTACGACGAGCATTACAACCGTTGGCCCTATTTCCCCAGGGGATGTTTCAGAGTCACTTGTCAATCAGCCGCTGAGTGCATCTCCTTTTGTGCTTGTGCACGGCGACAACTGTAACAGGAAGTGGGGTGGGTGGTGTTTGCAAAAAAGCAGAGAGAGATGGTGAAAAGAGAAGCCAATGGGACAGCTGGTGGCTGCAGCTGAAGTTATTGATTGAAGTCTAAAAGAGGCTTGTTGTGTAACTGAATGAGGGGAGGTGACACATTTGGCTTCACACACCACCTATACACCTGTGTGTTTAGCTGTCTTGTTTTGTTGTGCGATTTTGACAACGTGATTGTCAGTGTGTGAGCATATTTTCAAATTCCGCAATAGTGTAAAATCGGCACAGAGGGCATTATAGTTAGAGCAGTGCAGTGTTTCAAATCTGTTTAATTAGCACAAGCTCCACATTGTAATTAAACAGTTGGTGTGATTAGATGACTACGCTGGTGGGCGAGCCAGCGCTTCCACCTTTTAATCATGTGTGATCTGTGTGTGCACTTTACATGCCCTGTGAATGCAACCAAAAGCGACTGCATTCACAGGACCCCACAAATAAACACGGAGAAGGATGACTTCCTGCCGTATAAGTGACTGTTTTCCCAATGATCGCCATGAGCGCTTTCTTTTCCTCTGAGAACGTTGGCTGCTTATAGGAACGGATGGTGTGTAATTGCTAACATGTTTCGCAGGTCCCGCAGGTTCTGCAAGTCCGGAGCTATAAACAGCCTGCTTTGAGCAGCCTACTTAAAACTAGGTACTTGCATGTGTGAGTATGCATTTGAAAGGCAATGAGGTTGTCATAAGGGCCAAACAACACACTCACTCGCACACACACACACAGAGACACACAGTCTGAGTCAGCATCCATTTCCAGTATGTCTGCACTGCCTTCCCTAAACAACGGCCACATAACCAGTGACCTACAATGAGCTGCAATCCTACATTCAGACCCACAAAAACAGATGTTGGTATGGCAAACACAAGCACATATATATATACGCACACTGACCGTCAACTGTTCTGCATTGCAGTCAGGTCTAACATGCTTGTAGTGTAACTCTAAGAGTAACTAAGTGGCCGTTGTAACATTGTTTCTGGCTTCACTGTTTCATCTTCATAGAGCCGTATTCCGTATTCAAAAATGCAACAGACAGGCTTAGGAGAAGACGCATATTTCCTGTGTCTCAACCAGTCGAACCCACACATGCTCACAATCATGTTCACGTATGAACGGTTTCACTTCATCAGAGTGTGCATGTGCTGTTATAATTGTCAAGAAGTCAACTTGTGTGTGTGTTTGCCATATATTGTGTTTAAATTGAAAGAGAATTGCGAGTTTTTTAAAATGTTAATTTGCATATCAATGTCTTTGTCGTTTCTCTGCAGCTCTGCCACACTGATATCAGACCCGTGAGCGACTCTTGTCTCCCACTAAAATGCTAAGTCAGCCCGTGTATAAATAAGACACAAAGACCTATGTGTTCTGAGCTGTTGTGGTCTCTGAGCTTGTGACTGGTGCCTGATGTTCTCTGAGTCTTCCTCAAGGCTTTCCTCAATCACTACTTTTAGATTTGTTGCCAGCAAATGACCTGGAGGAATTACAAATAATTGATTCCTCAATCCTGTGTATTTCATGCCTTTTTATAATAACAGCTATGAGCCTAAATGGGGAAAAAAATTGCAAAATTTCAACACAGAACAAGTGTTGTGACATAGTGGTTGTTCCTTTTTTAAAAGCAATCTGTCTGGTCCTCTGCTCACATTTTGATCAACCAGACCAAAATGGTGCTTTGCAGAAACACAGATGTTTTTTACGAATCCATGAAAGTGCTGCAGACCTTTGCCACCCATGACCAAAACACTGGCTTCAAAACAAAACGGGAGCAGCAGGTTACTACAGCGGAAGAGGCCTCAAAGCTGATACACAAAGCCTTTTAAAGTCAGAGTTTTTTGTTGGCGGACAAATGTCCTGTGCAGGCCACCAGTCTCGCCTGTTTCCTGTGTGTGTGTTAACAGTCTGCCACTCAGGCTCTGTCTGGGTTACACTTCTCTCCAGGGGGTTGTCTTTAAAATGGCTTGACTCTAGTGGGAAATGGTGTACAAAAATGCGTTTTTGTGTGTGGGACTATGCATCAGCCCACAAGTGTGTACTAGTCACCGGGTAGTGCTGCAATGTAATCCCTTCACGGATGCATTCTTGGTCTCAACATTTGGGTAAGCCCATTGACCAGCTCGCTGCAGATCCCCAGTCGGGAAAGGTTAAATCGGTATTCCTTTTGTTGTCGGGAGTCACCGCCGTAGTTGTTTCTAATCAGCTATTTGGCCGCTGCCGAGGGGAGAGGAGCAGGAAACGTGACTGAGCACACACACCGAGGTCCACAGCTCTGCGCATCACTTCCTCCTCACTGCTACCATACTGGTCACGAGTTCTTTTTTGTTGTTGCACTGTTCTGTGCGAGTGTCCTTTGTGGGCTAAAGAAGAGGCCTTGTCCACAAGGGCTCAGTATTGTGTGTTCGGTGCGCTTGTTGTATGACTGCAGTCTAAATGAAACTAGCCTGGGACACGAGGCTTGAAAGCTGATAGGAACATCCTGTTCAGACCAAATGACGCAGTGATGCATGGAAGTCAAGAAGCAGAACGTTAAATGACAGTAGTTAGCTTAAAAATTATAATACTGAATGTTTTGTTATTCACCTATAGTAACTGACCCGTGATAAGGCTTTTCAGGCTCAGGGGCTTTACAGATTGTGGCTGATGAGCGGCTAAAGGTCTGCAGGACAAAGAAGCTACAGGTTAACGAGCTACGAAATGCAATCCTGGTTTTCCAAACAAAAACACATCTCCTGTTAATGGCACATCCTCTGTAATGTTTGCATAGTGTGCCGGTACTAGAAAGGTACTGCGGTACCCTCACGTTGAAAACAATATGATTTTGCACTGGAGTGGAAGAGGTTGAGAAGATTGAGAGTGGGCTCCTCCTGCTCGGACGTGAACTTTGATTCAAGCTGCACGTTGAGATTCAGGGAAACTCATCCTGGATCTGTAAGACAAATAATGAAATCTAAAACATATTAACAAGCGTACACATGGTTCTTAATGCTGTGTTCA